AGAGAGAGAGAGAGAGAGAGAGAGAGAGAGAGAGAGAGAGAGAGAGATGTTGAGAGTGTAACCCCCGTGTTAGAAGACAGCGAGAAAAATAATGCTAAAAGCAATGTGTGTGTCTGTATTGTGTGGAATTGTCTGTGTGGGTATCACCCTGTAAGAAGAGTGTAGAGCACACACTGTTTCACAGGCTGTAGATCAAACACACACTGAAGGCTGGAGTCAGACTAAAGGTCCACACAGGGCACTTTAATAGACACAACATTTTCATTTAAGAGCTCTTCTTCAGGCGGCGGTGAGCAGAGCAAGAGACAAGTACAATCCTCCTTCAGGTACCATTTGGGATCTTATTATTGATAATTGAGAGTCAATCTTCTCCCAGACTGAACCAATCAGAGCAAAGCTAGATAACATTGTTACTTTTATGCCTCTACCAAAAAGGGCTGAAGTGGAGAAAAAGCTTATAGAAAAATAATAGAGAATATCTAGATGGAGAGGTCAACATATATATAGATACATACTGTATTTGTAATGTGAATGCTAACGTCATAATGCTAACATGTTTAGCATGTCTACCATCCTCTGGAAATGTCTGAGTCTGATCCAAGACTTAGATTTACCATACTGTTGATTGAATATGTATCAGACACATTGAAATAACATTGGCCACACCTTATTGTTCACCAGCTGCTCGATTCAAATACAGAAGCTGCTGATTCAAAACTAAAGCTCAAGTTATTGATACAAATGGAAACTGATGTGAGTAATCAGCTCGAGAAAAGAATGTGCCTCTGTAGGAGTCGTTGGGGCAACGAGAAACCCAAAAGTGTTAAGACAAAGGGGTCTTATGTCTGATTGTAAAAACCAGTAGTAGCACTTCCAGACTCACCAGCTGCTAGAAAACCCAAAACACTGGCTTCAGCCTCCTGTAACATGGACGCTGGCTGTGTCTTTGAGCAGCAGCAAGCGTCTCATTTAGGGTCGCGAGCACGAAGGTGCCCGATAGGTGAGCGCATGGCTAATCGCTCTGTTGTGTGTCTGTGTCCTGCAGGACTGCGGCTCTCTGCTCTCAGAGGGGGACAACCAGGGCTGCTACCCTCTGGACGGACACGTCCTCTGCAAAAACTGTAACAGCAGCCGCATCCAGGACCTCACCGCCAAGGCCACCACTGACCTCTGAGCAACCCGCCCGGTCACCTCCACTGTGATAACCCTCCCTCTCTCCCTGTCTCTCTCTCTCTCTCTCTCTCTCTCT